GGAAAAAGGAAAACAAGAAATATATTGTCTACTTACTTTTAACACATCCGACATAAAAATCGGCAGTGAAGAACCGATTTGATTTATAGATGGCGTTACTAAAACTCCCCGATTAAAACAATTACAGAACGAACAAACAATAGCAACAAACTTAAAATCTGTAAGACGAATCTAATTTGAGAATGTACCTACGGACGGCAAGACCTCCGAGTAGCTTGTAGCGAAGAGACTCAGCCTGAGCAATAGCACAAAGGCCTCTGTTGTTAACCTTCTCAGCATAAAGCTCGACGCTGTTTTCTGGGAACTTGAATCGCTTCTGAACTACTGAGGTAAGCTCTCTAATCCTCCTACCTTTCTCACCTATAACCCTCAATTACCAAAGCTTAAAACCCTGTACCGAAAAATCAATTAAACCCAGTAGAGGATGCATGATTGTTATACAAATATACCGAGCACGTTTTGGGTGCGGGTGGCTCTTATGATGATCTCGGTGCGCATAGGAGTAACTCTTACTTCAATTAAAGAGTATCCATCCTCAGCCAATTCCCTGGTCAAAACCTCATTGAGTTCAGCGAAGAAGACTCCATCAGCAACGAACTGAACGCAGTAGCAAAAGACTAAAACTAGTTAAAGATATGATGAAAAAAATGGAATGGTCGACGAAACAAAGGCGGTATAGGCAACGATACCTTTCGCTTTTTACTGATTTGAGCAGCCGCCATGAATTTTTAGGCTTGAGTAGGGCTGTAAATGAGACATACATACTGCAAGCATATCGAATCGATCAAGGCTCCATAAATATTTGGATTTAGTGGACTCGACTTGAGTTCTTAACAAGTCGAAATGAGATATTCGATATTTGATTCGAAAAAATTTATGAGCAATATAATATATTAAGATTTTATTTAAAAAAATAAATTATTAATAATATTAATATTTATGTATTGATTTTTTTTAAAATACAGAAAGATTTAATGTATTTAAAGTTCATGTTCGAGTTTGAGTTTGAGGCTTAAATTGAGTTAAGTTTAAGATTTTTTTTTTCATTTCGAGCCTTTTCGAGTTGCTCACGAGCTTCAGTTTAGGATTTTGAGTTCGAGTCGAACTTGAAAATTTTAAACTCGCAAGTTTTCGAATCGAGCTCAATTTCAAAATTTTCGAATCGAGTTAAGTCGAGCTCAGTCGGCTCGTTTACACCCCTCGGCTTGAGTGGAGTTGAAAGCCCTTGAATGAATACTTATTTAGTAATAATCGTTCTTGGTGCTGATCACAGATCAAGGCCTGTAAAAGGGATCCATTCACCCATTAATGGCTCCACATCTTTCACACCTAATTTGGACATGTTCCTTTAGTTTAGACCCATTCACCATTGTCTTTTAAAAGCGTTTTTAGGATTAGAATCACTTTTTGAATCTCTGTTAAACAAATATTTTTTTAAATATATATATATACATATATAAGAAATATTTTTAAATATAAATTCAAAATTTACAGTTTCAGTATTTTAAAAAATATTTTAAGATTCAAGATTATTTTTTATCGGTATATAATCTAACTATTAGTTAATATGGATCGAATATTACAAAGGCTCATTTATGAGCAACCATCTTAGCCTGATTTACTTTAATCACAATACCAAGATTGATCTCACTTAAAAAATCAAATCAGGAGTGAATATTAGATAATATCCATTCACAAAATCTCAACCCTCTACAGCGTGGTTACTGATTTTTAAAAATATAAGATATAGTCACTTTCGTTTTTATTTAATTTAGATATGATCACTCTCGTTTTTATTTAATTAAGACGTAGTCATCAAGGTTAACTACTGTTAACAATTAATTGAATATGTGACGTGATAGTTAGTATAATCACACATTTACTCCCTCTTATTTATATACACTCTCAATTTAGTCATATTTTTAAATAAATTTTAACATAAATATATATTTTTAAATGAAAATAAAATATTTTTAAATTAAGTTAGTAATAAAATATATTTAATAAGTTAATATAAAATATTTTTAAGTTAATATATATAAAATATTATGAATTTAAGTATTTAAACATTAAGATACAAAATATATACACCATGTTGTCTATTTTTTTATCAAACAATGATATTGGCTTAATGGTTTGATATATGTTTAGTTTCGTAAGTGACCAATGTTTGAATCTTTTTTTGTCCTAATTTGCTTTATTTATTTTTTCTCAACTAGAGAGTGCCACATACCACGTTTTGATTTGTGAAAATAAACATATTAAATTAAAATAAAGTTAATCCTAACACAAACATAAGTTAACCCTAAAGTCTAATATGACTTATACTGTTAGTGACAGGGTGGCTCTTGTACAGGTTGATAAAGTAGATATAGTTGGTGCAACAAATGTTGAGGTGAATTTTGTAAAGATGGAAAAGATTAATGTTGAATCTTCTTCTGCTTGTTAAGAAGGGTGTTTCTGCTATACGGCAAATTTAATATACGCTAAAAAATATCGTATCGGAAATATTATTATTTTTTTAAAATATTTGGTAAATCGTTACCTAAAACATTATTATTTTTTTTACCGAAAATGTTATTTTCGCTAACTAATTTTCAGTAAAAAATAATGTTTTAGGTAGCGCTTTACCGGAACTGTTAAACATTTTAGGTAGCGTCCAATAATAACATTTTCGGTAAAAAAAAATAATGTTTTAGGTACCGTTTTATCAGAAATATTAAAAAATAATAACGTTTTCGGTAAAACTTTTCCTTAACCGTATATTAAGGTTGTCATAACTGAGACATCCCGGTTAAAAGGAGTGGATTCTGACAAGGGAAAGGAGATTTTTATTTTTCTAAATCTCCGGATAGTTTGGAAAAGAAGTCTAATGTTCTCCTAGTAACAGATTTTCCATTTTAAATTCTGTTGAGACTGAGCTTATCAGCTTATTGCAAGGAAGAATCCTGGTGTAGTTGTCTGTTTCAGAAGATGCTAAAGACTAGCCAAGCTTCTACTGGGGTTGCTACAAAGCCAAAGAAACTTTATTATCTTCCTCACGAAGATGATATGTTTCTGTTTTTGCTGTGCACCGCAGCAGTTTTACTGCGTTTTCCTAGATTATAAATTTTAAAATTTATTAATTAACTGAGTTATATTATGCTTTAGAATTTATTCAGTAGATTCAGTTATAAAAAAAGAATGTTCATGTTCGAACCCTTGCTGCGTGTACTAGTGGCGGATCCATAAATTTAAGAATAGGGGTCCAAAATTTTAATTTTCTTTTCTTAAAAATAATGGATATGTAAAAATTGTATTTTTTTCCCTTAACTCATTAAGCTAAATGTAATCATTTTTCCAATATAATGATGATGCACTTGGCCCCTATTAGGCTTAGTGCATCTGCAGCTGGTGTGTACGTTATCAATGATTTAAAAAGATTATAAACATATATTATATTATATTTTTTATTATGGATTAATCTACATCTAAACCAACTCTATTAAGTTGGAAATCATCCAAGTTATCATGATGATGTGGATAACCCCATTGAAGATCTTATTGTTTATTCCGGGATAAAAGAGTGGGGGGCTCTTGGACTGGACTTTGTTTTCTTTTCCGACCTAATTGCTGGAAATGTAGGGAGGGAAGGGAAAAAGTAGATTCCCATCCTCACATGCTGTGCTTTGTCTTTGGCTTTTGTTTTCTAGATTAGACCTACCCACCTTAATTACTTAATCTTAAACAACTTCATACAGTATTTTACATCATTTGGCAACAGGTTTTGCTTTATCCGGTGGAATTCAAAGGGAATTCTTGGAGTTGTCCTGTGGGCCGGCAACCGTAGGATTTGGTATTAACGACGCGATCGAGATTTATTTTTAATTAAAGTTGGTACTGTTAATTAAAATTAAGAAAAGAAAACATTAAATCTTTACATTATGCCAATGATTTCAGAAACTTGTGTCCAACGCCATGTGTGATGCGTATCAGAATGAAGCATTCGTTTATTCCTTTTAGACATCAAATCATTGGTATTTGATTAAACTAAAGTAATTTGTGTTTCTTTTGAATTAACTTTATTCATATAAAATAATAATTATTTTATTTTAAATTTAGATGATTGATTTTCAGTCAAATCAATGTAAAATAAACATGGTCGTTGATGACCTTTAAAAACTATAGTTTTCTATATGGTTCTTTGACAATTTTCGAATCTGTTTTTAAAATTTTATAAGATTATTTAGATAAGCATTTACTTAATTCCCCTTGCATACGTTAGCCTCTTTTTCTTATTTTTGTTAACTGACAATGACATTAATCTTAGGTTGATATATTATTCCTTTAATTACTCAATCCCCCCCCAACACAAACCAGAGGGATCAACTTACAATTATTATTTTTCTCCTTTAAGAAAAACAAAAATTAAGTCAAAAGCTCATCATCCCTTATCTGATATATCAGATTCTGTTCCTGTCTGTGGTGTTTGATTAATAACCAGAAAAGATCATCTAAAAAGCTGCTTTGCCTTCAAGAGCATATTCACATATATATACATATGCTGTATGCATGCACCTGATTTCTGTTCTCCACAAAGCATATATTAAACAAAAGGCAATGGCAACAGTGATTTTCTCAGCAAAGATCAGATCATGGAGGGGAATAAAGGGAAAAGCTTTGGAGAGTTGATTGAGTTTGGAAAGTTGAAATAAAGGGTTATAATGGGGAGTGAGAGTCTGTTTTCCATCCAAAAGTAGATAATGAACCTTCATGGTAAAGGATCTGAGACAGAAAAATGTTTGTAAAAGGCTCATTATTGCAGATATCAGCCTTTTTTGACAATGAGGAAAAGGTTAAGCCTCTTAAACACCTCTCTTTTCCTCGTCAGTGGAAAATTTAACAAGTGCATGACAGACATAAAGATCAGTTCCTTGTCAAAGCAACCAAATAATTGACATTTTTAAGATGAAAAAGGAAAAGAAAAGAGATGGTTTAGCTTTAGAAGTGATCGCCTTTTCATTATCCATTTCAAAGACAGCAGCAAATTTAGAAATTTATGAACACCCCCATATGCTTACTTCATTTCAATCAGGTCAATGGTCACAAAGAGTTACAGTAAGTTTGAGAACTAAAGATAGTTCATCAAATGATACAAAGGGGAGATAGATACAGAAAAATCGCTAACAAAAAGACCCCATTTTTTTCTTTTTTCTCTTTTCAACTAAATCAAACAGGCCTGTTTCTTTTCTGACCAGCTTTGCCATCTGATCTCATAGCACCACCCAAATCCTCTTCGGATGATGTATCCATGGATTTGACAAAGGAGGTTGAAAGATCAGCATAGAGCTCCACAACTCTTCTTATGTTGTTGTTGAGCTCCTTGATTAGACCAACATTTCTGCTCAAGTTGTCCGGGACCTTGGACTCATGGTTCTGGTTTATCTCATTGATGAGCAGCCTATTCTGGTCCAAGATATCCTGGACCTGAACAAAGCTCCTTTGAAATACCTGCAACACCTTGCTATCTAACTGAGTTCCATTGTCAATCCCTGAGAATATGTCACCTTCCATTGTTTCCTTTCTCCTTACTGAGTCAGAGTTGTGTCGGATCAAAACCAATCCTGAATCCAAAACTGCAAAAAAAAAACTCCTAACATGGTTCAATAAAGCAAAGAGTCTCAGACAAAGGCATTTTGCGCATAAGAGACAAAGGCCAGCAGTAGAAATCATGACCTCCATGAAATCTAACTTTCACCGAAGAATGCGTTAACAAACATGATAATAATGATATCAGTACGTAATTTTTCTTTTACTATTACAGTTGCTATCATTAATATTATTTATGATGAAAGTGTGAAAAGGCAGATCCCATTTCCATAAAAGGGATCCTTTTTTTATTTCTCTGAAAATACCCTTCACTCGGCTTCAAAGAAGAATCTCAAAAACCGAAAAGGAAAAAAAAAAACTCCCGAGTCACATGAGTCGTGAACGATAGAATACTCTATCGATACAGAGAGACAGCATTACATTTACAAATCATTTTACAAAAAAATGAAAATCTGAAATCTCAAAACACAAACAAAAAATGTACATATCTTTTATAAAATTAAATTGCGTTCAACACAACGAAAAATTAAATTTGGTTCAAAATCTGTGAAAAAAATGAGATAGATACCTTGAAAAGGTTCTTATTTCTAAGCCAAAAAAAAAACATAAAATCTCCAAAATTCCCAGATTTTTAGCCTCACAAAAAATATGAAACAAAACAAAAAGCTGATGAGATCCGAACCTTGTAAGCAAGGTGAAACCCATTAGCTACAAGAAAAGAAAACCATTCATTTAACTACACAAGGGAAACAAAGACAGTGAAGAAAGACATAATTTCCATTCATATACCCGGCAATCGTGTAAAAATTATGTTATACGCGTACCTTGAAAATCTGGAGCATTATATTCAGGTGAAGGAGACAAAGATTGAAAGAAGGAGAACGAGGGATTCCCGAGAACAGTTGGAAAAGATCGCCGATTAAACTGAATCTTAAGAACCCAAAAAAAAATCTGAATTATGAGAGAGAGAGAGAGAGAGAGAAGATGAAGAGAATATGTAGATTTGACTTTCACGCTCTCGGACCCCTTTGGTTTGTCTAAATATTACAGATGGTTCCCTATATTCTCCCACATATATAAATATATATCCACCTGTTTCTTTTTTTATTATTATTAATTTTAGAGTAAAGTATATAAATAGTCTCCGAACTATTATGACATTTGTATTTTGGTCACCTAACTTTTGAAACTTGCAATACAGTCATTGAACTTTTAGTTTGTTTTCATTTTGATCCCTACCATTATCTCCCGTTAGTTTTTGCTGATGTGGCACTTAACCTCGTTAACTTTTTTGACGTGGATTTTTCTTATTCCTCTTCATTTTCTACTTTTTCTTCTTCAAATCAATCGTCTTCAGCTTCAAAACCCGATTTATGGTTTTCAAACTTGCCAGTATATTTTCACACATCTTCAATGGAGACAACAGTCACCACCATTTTCATGGCTTTCAACAAAGGTTGATTCCTTTCCCAAGTGTCAATGTCCCCTAGGTAATAGTGCCACCACTATTGGACATCGATGTTCTTGAATGCATGGAAGTGGTAGCGATATTCCATTCGTAGACATGTCACAACAATCCCGACAACTAGGTTTATGCATCGCCTAGTAAACAACAAGAAAACCCAACATATTGGTAGAAATATTGGTGATATCCAGGATCTTTTAGAAGTGTGGCACAGGAAATGGCGGCGAAGGAGCCAAGAGAACCATAATGAATGTCGAGTCCATGCTTTTCTACCAATAACCGAGTTCTCATTCCTCGGTCTCCCTTCCACCACTCATGGATAACACAGCTGCAACATGCGGCGTTTTACTCACTAACCATGACAACGGCTCTTACGACAAGCCATAACCAATCCAAGCACGTGTCATGTTTCTCTACCAATGATGCCACCCTTCCTACCTGCTGCGGCATATTCAACCTTGCGTTGTCACAACCGGTACCACCTTCAACGATCTCGCCCCTGGTGTGCTTCAAACCTAACCGCGACGTCTTTGCAGCTTGGTAATTGTTATCTCCCAATCCTCTTGCATGTTGGGTCGTTTTGGAATCGGGTTTTAAAGATGAAAATGATTGCTTTGAAGAAGCATAAGAGGAAGAAGAAGAAGAAGAAAAAGCTACGTCATAAAATGCCAGTATATTTCACACATCTTCAATGGAGACAACAGTCACCACCATTTTCATGGCTTTCAACAAAGGTTGATTCCTTTCCCAAGTGTCAATGTCCCCTAGGTAATAGTGCCACCACTATTGGACATCGATGTTCTTGAATGCATGGAAGTGGTAGCGATATTCCATTCGTAGACATGTCACAACAATCCCGACAACTAGGTTTATGCATCGCCTAGTGAACAACAAGAAAACCCAACATATTGGTAGAAATTATAGGTGATATCCAGGATCTTTTAGAAGTGTGGTACAGGAAATGGCGGCGAAGGAGCCAAGAGAACCATAATGAATGTCGAGTCCATGCTTTTCTACCAATAACTGAGTTCTCATTCCTCGGTCTCCCTTCCACCACTCATGATAACACAGCTGCACATGCGGCGTTTTACTCACTAAACCATGACAACTCTCTACGACAAGCCATAACCAATCCAAGCACGTGTCATGTTTCTCTACCAATGATGCCACCCTTCCTACCTGCTGCGGCATATTCAACCTTGCGTTGTCACAACCGGTACCACCTTCAACGATCTCGCCCCTGGTGTGCTTCAAACCTAACCGCGACGTCTTTGCAGCTTGGTAATTGTTATCTCCCAATCCTCTTACATGTTGGGTCGTTTTGGAATCGGGTTTTAAAGATGAAAATGATTGCTTTGAAGAAGAGGAAGAAAAAGCTATGTCATAAAAGTTAACGGGTTAAGTGCCATGTCAGCAAAAACTAACGGTAGAGACCAAAATGAAAACAATTTAAAAGTTCAATAATTGTATTGTAAGTTTCAAAAGTTGAATGACCAAACTGAAAGCATTCTAAAAGTTTGGGGACTATTTATATACTTTACCCTTAATTTTATTTTGATTTATTGTTTTTTTTTTTTGATTCAGTGGGGGATAGGATTGCTGTTCTGTGTGTGTTTGCTCAGATCCTGCGGATGTTCAGTATTCGCCACGTGGTATTTAAACTATGATGAAAATTACCATCTAGGAATTGAAATGGTCCCCACAACCCGAGATATCTTAAACAGCTTTGTTTATCATTTTGGTATTATTTGTTATAAGTTACAGTCTGATGTTGATTATTTTTGTGGTACTTTTAGTATTTCCAAATTAACATTTCGGTATTATTTCCCCCCAAAAAAGAGCCCTCAAATCAAAATGTTTTTTGTGAATTATTATTATTATTATTATATATTTTGTAAACAATAAAAAAGTATTTATTTTGATAATTTAATTATAGATTAATCTATTCGAGTCAAATAGTAATCTTACCTGACCGTTTTGGTATAACTGTTAAAGTTGGTTTGTGCATGTATCACGGGTGTTTGTGGGACATTTCCATATTGGTGCAACGTTCACAAGTTATGGTCGTTTATGTTTTTTTTGGGTGACTTTTTATGGCAAAATTACACTATAAATATTTTTAGTTTGGAGGTTCCTGAACACTGAAAACACAAACACTTCATTTTATGGAATTATACAAGCTAGCAAAGTTTTAAATTACTTAGAAGGCTTTGACTTTTTTTTTTGTTTATCGTGCAATTAATATATTTAATTTTTACATTATATTTATGATCATTTATACTCACGAGGACCGGATTAATATCATTATTATAAAATAATTAAATATGATACCTTAATTACATGGAACGTAAATGTATTATTGATTCATTTTTAAATTATTAAGTCTACAATTATAAACTATCAAATAATATCATAAAATATAATTGCACTTTTTTGTATAAAACATGTGTAATATATCATATGGTGACAATAACGACAACTATTTTATATACATACAAAGGGGGGGGGGAAAGCAATGTAATTATTTTATACCGAAATTCAAACTAACCAGCATATAAAAAGAAAAAAATTCACCATGTAAACAACCTGTAAACGAGGCAGACCATAAATAACAGTTTCAGGCGAATGGGAGATAGACACGTGTCGATCGAGGTTCGGACTCGAGGCTGCCAGATTCCCGAACCAAGTCATAGAATGATTCCTTTACTTGGTAGGCCGCAACTTGGGTCCCATAGCTCAATCACGCGCCACGAGTTGTGAAAATTTTAACGATGCCGAAAGATTAAAAATAATAATAAATAGAAATAGTAATATCTGTAAAAAAGTAGGGGGCGCGACGATATCTGACGTACGGACGACGCACTTTCATCTGCCCACTCCTTTTTAATTGAATGTCGAATGTAGATTCATCTGTAAGTTTTATAAAATTATTACACATGAAGTGATAAAAATTAATTTTTATAATTATAAAGAATTTATACTTAGATCAAATTAAAACATTTAATTTTTTCTTTTTAGTGTAACAATTAATTATTGCCTTCATCCACTAGTAAAAATTAACAGTTTTGTATTAACAATTCGTTATATTTTATGATTTAATTTAAATAATTTGATTAAATGATAATAAGGATGATAATAATAATAATATAAAGTCAACAATATGAACATAAAAAAGTACAAAAATTTGGAAGCATGGACCAATTGCGGATCCAGAATTCAAAATTTTTAATACCTCCTTTTTCCAATAAAATTGGTATACAAAATTTATTATTTTCTTATCATTCTCTTGATATATTGAACTATATTTAATAATTTATCCAAAATAATAGATATGCACTTTTCCAAATTCAAACGGATTATATTTATGCCTTATTTTACTCGTTAAAATAATTTATCACGAATATTTCTCTAAATATAAGAAATTATTTTATTAAACAAAATTATATAATAAATAAATAAAAGTAATTGTCTATGAAAAAAGATAGATACATATCGTCAATACAAACATAATAATAAAATAAGTACTATATTGATAATTGAATTTATCCTAATTTAAATATGATATATTTAAGATGATAATTAATTATATTCAATATATTTTTAATTATAAAGAAACGATTGGCGTGACATTTGCAGGCCTCAGGCAGCTAATAGCCGAGCATTCCGATGACCCATCTTTCTATGTATATGTTGTCCCTTGTTTCCATATGGAGTAAGAGAATGTAAGATAGTAGGTTGCCCCAAATATTAGGTTGAGAGCAACTTCCGTAGAAGACCTCCGAATTATGAAATGCCCTCCATGAGACTCGATCCCACGACCTCAAAGTTAAATCCATCTTTCTCTGTAGTGACTTAGGATTCCTTTTAATTACTAATTACTTCCTAATAGCATTGACTAAAAAGCGATTATAAAAAATTATACGTCACAAATTGACATATTGGCAGCAAATTGTTTCAGTTCCAGTCCACACTATTAAAGTGATAAATTAATTAATAACCATCATTGATGTCCTTATACTAAAGTTATTGTTAATTTTGTTATTTTACGGATTACAATTCAATTACTGCAGTAAGTAAATAAATGAACACGCGGACCTAGACAAAAAATTAACATAAGTAATAGGTGCTGCTGTAAAATAAATTTGAGAAATTATATTATTGTTGAAATTAACGTAGAGTATGACTGTAACTGGGTTGAAGTAGAACTTGAGGATGGTTGAATTCTATTCGACTCGGAAAATTTAAAATGAAGTTCGACTCGACTTGAAAGTTTGTGAGTCTAAAAATTTCAAGTTCAATTAGAGCTCAAAACCATAAATTGAAGCTCGAAAAAACTAAAAAAATCTTATAATAAAAAAATTCTTAAACTTAACTTAGCTGATGCTCAAATCCCAACTCGAACCTCCTTAAGTACGTTAAAATCTTATACTGTAATTTTTAAAAAATCAACAAATTAATGTTAATATTAATAGGGTAAATTATGCATTTAATACCTAAACTATCAGTTTTGGTCTGTTTAGTACATAAACTTTCAATTTTTTTAAGACCATGTGTAACTTTTGTTTTTTTGTTTCATTTTAGTATA